AAAAAAAAAGGGGAGGGGCTGAAGAAAGAGAGGGAAAAAAAAGCATAGCTTAATGTAAGTAAGTCTTTAATGCTTTACCTCTCTTTCAGTGCCTTCTGTGCTCTTCTCCTTGTTGGTATGCTGTGGAGTAGATGGTGACCCACAGCTACCTAGTATAGGGTTTCCAAGGAGCAGTTGGTGGGCTCAAACTACAGTCTTTGCAATTCAAAAGCTTTGCAGTCAGCCTCAGCAGGACTGCTTTGTTATTGGTGGTAAACAACTACTCTAGGGTGTCTCAATTTGGGCTGGCCTCTGCTCTTGAATAAGCGGATCACGCTAGTTCCTGTGGCCCCGCTAGCTCTCTGGGAGCATCTGCCCTCTGAATGGCTCCGCTGAAGCCCTGAGCTCCACTCTCTGCAATGGGCGGGGCAGTCCCTGAGGTGGGAACTAAGCACAGGAAGGTAGAGTCTCAAAATGCTTGTAACTCCTCAGCAGTTTGATTTTTTAAAAAAAGCAAGTTCATAATGTTAAGACCTAATGTTTTATGTTTGCCCCAAGGCTGTCTGTCTATCAGGCCGGGGCCTCTCTATTCGAAACCACCCCCGTATTCTCCAGAGCCCACGTACCTGTGCTGCCCAGTCAGGGAAGCACCAGAAGGTCCTCTGTAAAGACATTTTTATGAGAATTGAAAACTACATTAATGAGAAAAAGACCAAGAAAGTCACACTGAAGATTCTTTTTTTTTTTTTTTTCTCCCATCATGGCAATGTGACTATTCATTATTCCAGGGTAGTAAGGGGCATTGTATGAGAATTTCATTGGAAAATCTGACCCCATCTACCTTACAGACCTGATATTGCTCCTTAAGACATTTTTCTGTTCCTCCAATCTCAAAGAATGTTCAAAAGGAACCCAAATTGAGTCATTTACAGATGCCAAATGCACAGTTAGATGTTTTATAAATAAGAGTGCAGAATTTTGGGGGGAAGGGTTAGAGAGATGGAAATACTGCTTTCAAAAACTCATAACATCATTATTGCACATGCTTAAGAAAAGTCACTGATA